GGGGTCTGCAGGTGGCCCCATTCCCAGCTAGGACAACCCCTCCCCAGAAGATTGCACTCCAGAGGACAGCATTGAAGATACAGCTCAGGGAGAGTGGTAGGTTTGCCCAGACCACCCAGGAGCAAGTTAAGAAGGAGAGAGACAGAGCGAGAGAAAGACACACACACAGAACCACCTTCTGGCCTACCAAAACCCAAGGACGATACTCCTGCTCCAATCAGCCAAGGCACAGAGAGGATAATAGGGCCGGCCCCACTATGAAACACGATGTCCCCTCACTGACCCACAGTGCTGGAATTGTGCCCTGTCTGGCACCCCACCCCCACCACACACACACACACACACCAGGCAAAACACAAAGCTAGTGCAACAGAACAGCAAGGGGAGCAAAGAAAAAGTCCCCCAGAAATCCCAAAAGTAGACTTTAGAGGCAGAGGAAGGGCTGGGCACTTCATCCGACTCGATCAGAAAACATACTAAGGGGCAGCAGATAGACCCGGAACTATTTATAGGCTTCTTTTTCCTCCTCTTTCTCTTCTTCCCCCTCCTTCTTCTTGTCTATCCATATAACATAGGCAAGATAAAAAATCCTGACATGAAAACAACAGGACTGATGGTTCCAGAAGGACAGGGGAGAGAGGGAGGTGGGGGAAGAAGGGGGGAGGAACCAATAACCCCAGGGAAAAGGGAACAATAAGATTATCTAAAATTGATGGCGAGGAGGGTGCAGAATGCCTGGCAGGGTCTGATCAAGTGCAATGTAGCCAAGAAGAATTACTGAAGGTCAAGTGATGGTTGAACACAATAGTGGGACAGGAGGAAAGTAAAAGAAAATAGAGGAAAGAACTAGGAGGCAAAAAAACTTATAGAGGTATAAATATAGGCATATATTTATATAAATATATAATGATAGGGACAAAGGTATATGTACATATATTTATATGTTAAATATCAAAGTAGAAAACAGACATTGGGCCTCTAATCATTGCAAGAACTTTGTTCTAATAACCTGACATTCTGTGATGCTCACCTTCCTGACATGATCACTGAGTCGAAATGGGTGCGTAAGCAGATGTGGTGAAGAAGGCTGATGGTGCCCGGCTATTAGAAGATACAGCATTTGGAGTCTGAAAGACTTGAAGTTAAACAAGCAGCCATCTAGCAGGGAAACAACAAAGCCCATACAGAAAAAGCACATCAGCATGTGTGATCACAAGGTGTCAACGGGAGAAGGTATCAGGCATCAGAAGACCCCAAACAAATATATCAATGCAAATGATGGGGGTCGAGTGGAGACCCAAAGCCCAACTGTAGACAATTGGACATTCCCTCACAGAAGGGTCACAAGGAAAGAATGAGACAGTCAGGGTGCAGCATAGCACCAATGTAACACACAACATTCCTCTATTTCTTTCATGCTTCCTCCCCCACTATCATGATCCCAATTCTACCTTACAAATCCGGCTAGACCAGAGCATGTACACCGGTACAGAGAAGAGCTCTGTACACAGGGAATCCAGGACAGATAAACTCATCAGGAACAGTAATGGGAGTAGCAATACCATGAGGGTAGGGGGAAGGTGGGGGGAGGAGGAGAAATGGGGAACAGATCGCAATGTCAACATGTAACCCAACCACCCTTGGTGGACTAACAATAGAAATGTGGGTGAAGGGAGACAGCAGTCAGCGTAAGATATGAAAAAATAATAATTGTTAATTTATAAAGGATTCCACAGAATGGGAGTGTGGCGGAAGGAGGGAAAAATGAGGAGCTGATACTAATGACTCAAGTAGAAAGAAAATTTGAAAATGATGATGGCAACATATGATAAGTGGATTGTTATAAGAGCTGTAAGAGCCCTCAATAAAATAATTCATTAAAAAAAAAGAAATCAAATGACATATTGCATCGGACAAGGATGTCACTTTGAAGGTTAAGGTGCTCCTGACCCAAGCCATTGTATTTTCAGTCATCTTACATGCATGTCAGAGACGAAACCTGGAAGACCACAGAAGAAGTGATGCATGGGTATTACAGTGATGCTGAAGACTCTTGGAAACACTATGTCAACAGACCAAACAACGCTGTCTTTGGAGAAGTAAAACCAGAATGACCCTGCGATGTTTGCATGGGGAGACTTCCTCTCACGTTATCAGAAGGTGCTGGTCCCCGGAAAAGAACATCAGGTGTGGTAAAGTAGAGGGGCAACAAAAAAGAAGGCTGTCAACAAGATGGACTGACACGTGGCTGCAACAGTGGGTGGCTACACAACAGGGATTGTGAGGACACTGCAGGACCAGGTGATGTTTGCTTCTGTTGTGTATAGGTAGGGTCACTCCCCTCTCAACAACAACAAGAGAGCGAGATTTTATTTTTCTCAAAACATGCATTGCTTTGTAACACAGGCACATGTCAAAGAGCATTAGATCTGGCTTCTGAAAATAGATTGCACTAATAGGGTGAAACACCGCCTGGTCCAGTGCCATCCTCAAGTTGTTGCTATGTTTGAGCCCATCGTTACAGCCGCTGCACCAGTCTATCTTGTTAAAAGTCTCTCTCATGCGAGCTGACTCTCTTCATTACCAAGCATGGTGTCCTTTTCCAGGGACTGATCTCCCTGATAACATACCCAAAGTATATGAGATGAAGTCTCACCATCCTCACTTCTAGGAAATATTGTGGGTGTCCTTACTCCAAGACAGGTGTTTGTCCTTCTGGCAGTTCATTGTACTTTCAATAGTCACCAGCGCCATAATTCAAATGCATCAGTTCTTCTTCGGTCTGTTGTATTCATTGTTCATCTTTCACATACACATGAGGCAATTGGAAATACTATGGGTTTCGGTCAAGAGCATCTGTGGTAGCTACATAATCTGGTGTCAATTTGAGGATTAAGAGTGTAGGGGTGGACAAGGGGAGGGTGTTGCTTATATCTCCACAGGGAAAGAAGGACCAGACTTCAACCCGGTGCTCCAAGACAAGAACGCAACACACTGGCATGAAGCAGGGAACCGATAGAGAGGCCTGAGGGGCCGGCCCCATTACCAAGTAAGTGGACATGCCCCCCTCCCCCTACTAGAAGAATTCATTTCAGAGGACAGCACTGAAGCTACAGCTCAAGGAGAGGGACGTGTCTGATCAGAGCACACAGGAGCAAACGAGAGGGTAGCAAAAAAGAGGGAAGCACGTCCTGGTCCACAAAGCCCTGAGGACAATATTTCTGCTCAGAGCAGCCAATGCACAGAGAGGACCATAGGGCTGGCCCCACCACACAACATGATGTTCCTTACTGACCCATAGCACCACGGGGGACAACACTGGAGACACACAGCAGGAACTGTGCCTGCCCTGACCCCACCACTCTGAGGCGAGACTGGGTGCATGCAACAGAGCAGCAAGGGGAGCAGGGAACACCCTGTGGGGCCAGGGCGTGGCTCCCCATCAGACTGGACTGGAAAACACTCGAAAAGGACAACAAATAGACCTTGAACTATTTATAGGCTTTTCTTACAGTCAGGTTGGTAATGAAAATGGACCAATCCCCTCCATTGGTGTCAGAGTGATATTAAGAAATTTCACTCCAGCACAGCTGATTTTTAATTACATCAACAAAATTTAACTTGCATGTCATATTAACGGTATTGGGAGATTAAAGTGTGCATTCTGTTAGGTCACCTTTCTTTGTAAAGGGCAAAACCATGTAGCTCCTGGTTACGTGTATCCAAAGAGCAAACCCATCGCACCGTGCTGATTCCGACTCGTAGCAACTCTATGAAGATGGGGTGGAATTGTTGCTGAGAATTTCCCAGGAAGCAGGCAGCCTCCTCTTTCTAACTCAAAGCAGCTAGTGGGCTTGAACTACCAGTTTTGCAGTTGTCAAGCCAGCACTTAATACACAACCCCACCAGGGTTCCATGGTTATTTGGTAGAACATGGAAAATTGTCACAAAACCATGACCAATGGCAGATCAATGCATCACTATGGAAACAGGGAAGGTCCATGATTGAGATACACAGAAAAGCTTTTAAGATTTGTTTGAGAACCCTGCAACCCCCTTGGCTCAGGTTATGGCTATGACCAAGTGACCCTGGTACCCCAATTTGATCATGAGCTTGTCCAGTCCAGTCCTCGAGGCTGAGACTGGGCTCGCTAGAGGAATGTAGCAGCAATCCACTTTCAAACAGACTTTATCTGAAGGCAAAGTATGAGCATAATCATACACTGCTGATCATGATCAGACAACTCAATGCAAGAGGCTAAGTTTATAGAGATAATCAATATTGATTTAGGACTCCCACAGTGAACCATAGCCTGTGGCACACCTAGTGCTCACAATATAAGCTCCAGTTCAATAAGTAATGTCCCCTCATTTGAAATTGCCAAAGAATATAGAAATGTGTTCAGCAAAAACTAAAAGTCCATTAAAATGCTATTCCTCCAAGTGATATATAATTATACACCATGTATAGTTGTAAATTTAATATAGTTTTTCAAATTTTTCTATAACATGCTAACCTGGATATATTATTATTTTATAAACATGAGAAACTGTCATATATAATTTTAAGCTACTTATGTTTTCATTTAATGTAAAATCATAAACATCTTTCTATTAGTTGAATCTCATTCTTATTTACTATCCTCATCAAATAGATTTATCTAATTTATTTACCTATTTCCCATTGATGAATACCATTATTGTTTTAGGACACTAGTGACATAGTGGATTCTGCTTCAAGTTGCTAACCACAGGGTCAGTAGTTAGAAACCATCAGTTCTTCTGTGGAAGAAAGAAGCTTTCTACTCCAGCAAAGAGCTATCGTTTCAGAAACCCACAAGGGTAGTTCTGTCCTGTCCTAAAAGGTCACCATGAGTTGGAATTGACTTGATGGCAGGGAGTTTGGTTTTTTTATAGTTGTTTTAAAATGTTTACAGTGAGACAGCTAGACCATCTTTTTTTATCTACTTTTGTACACTTCTTACTTTTTTCCAGACTGGCTATGTCATCCCTCATTCAATCTGGACCCGCCACAAAGACAGACAGAAAGCACAGGGACTTTTTGTTCTTTCGCATCCTAGTGCAAACCGGAAGATAAACTTCTTAAAAAAGAAATTTCTGATTGAAAAGATGCAATATCAACCGGAGTGCTTATTGTTCTCCAAAGTGTTACCCACTGACATGCCTACAAATAATGTATGAAATAAGAACACTAGGTGGTGCTAAGCATGCCCATTCAGGTTTATTGTGTGGGAACAATCTGGGAGGTTTATCTAGTTCGGGCCTTCCCCAAAATGAAGCTACACTCGTGCTGACCAAGTTTGTCATCGCCTCCCTTCATCATACTGCATGCCTCTTCAGAAAGCAGAATGAATACCAATGTACAGAAATGCACGGCTCGGTGGAAGAGCAAAACTTTCCAGCAATCAGAATTTTCTTATAATGAAAGAATACATTGCCTATTAATTGCCAGTGAGTATCTGGACACTATAAGTGATCATCCAATCAAAGAATGGATGCTCTTGTGTTAGGTAATTAAATGTTATGACCCCTGAAGCTTCCTTCTTCGGATTCTAAGGCTCCAGGACACCCAGGCTTGAAGGGCCCAAGTTGGAACTACTTCCTCTCATAGTCACTTCTTCCCTGCATCCTTTTTCATGTCAGGATAAACAATATTTATGTCTGAGTATTTCATTAGATTCATTTTTGTGAGTCTAGATCACTACTTCTTTCCGAGTTAAAGGTTGGTAATTCTATTCCCATTCATTAATTCAACAAACATTCATTGACCCCATGTTATGTATCTGGCAGAGTACTAGATGTGGTGGATCTGACCGCAAACAAAGCCGACCATTCCTGCCCACATAGCATTTACAAATTGTGTTTATAAACAGGGCTAGATATGCAGGCAGCCATGGAATTCACTATTTGCTTCTCTGAAGCATGTATGTTAACTGACAGATAGGTTGTCTGTTAAACTGAATATGAGTAATAAGGAAATCAGAAGCATCAGACTAAACTTTAAACCCATTTCTTGGTGCTGGTTTTTGGGGTAGACATCAAGCACAACAAGAGCCGAAATAATTCCCTGGGCCTTCGAGGTAAAAGAATTCAAGCAGAAGCAACTCTAATCCCCCAAATAGAGCAAACAAAAGCACACTCCTTTGGATTGTCTAGGAAACTACATCTGTGTTCCATATTATCTATGGGTCTTCACAGGCCCACGTTCTAAGATTAGAAACCTCTGAACACTCTGAAGAACATGATGACTTTTTTAGCCCTGAGCTTAATGCCCTATTTCCTCTGCGAGAAAAAGGGCAGATGCAAGAGAAAACCAAGGGAGAACAGATCCACCGAGTGGTTTAGGCAGAATTGTGTTTATTTTAAAAAGTGCCCACTACACCAAATGTGTCATGAGGGAAATGCCATGAAAAGATTTCTGGAAGAAATCCTGAGCCCAAACCTTTTCTTAGGTAAAAAATATTATCATTTTAGGGCACATTCCATCTCCTGTCACGCATGCCTGAGCAGAATGCTTCCTGTTGAAAGCTCATTCTGAAAACGAAATGCCATCCACAGGTAGCCTGCCATCCCTTGGAGGCACAAGACAGAATAAACAAAATAATCCTCACTTTCAATGGCAGTGCTTTATTTTAGGAAGGATCTAGAATGCTCAGAAAATAGGAATCTTTGAGAATTTGTCTCTTGAAATACACCCATGCCAGCTAAACTTGACCAAAAACATTATTTTCTTTTACTCTCTCTCTCTGTATTTTTATTGAAAACTGGGTGAAGGTTAACAAAGTGGATCATCAATTTTACATTCAATAATTCAGGCACTTTTACAATTATACTCACTGTACGATTAACTGATCATTTATTCCACTTCCTCCATCTGTTTGCTGTTTCCTTTCTACCTTTCCGAATCCTCTAAACTTCCCCCTTGGGTAAATGCTGCCCTTTTACAATTTACTGGTTAGTTTTTCTACAACAGGGGTGAATTCAGTACAGGGCCATTGTCTCAGAGGTCCCACCAGCCTCTTTCTGATGAATAAGTCTGTTCTCTCCTAGGATTTTGAATTTTGTTTGGCATTCTCTCCTACTCTATCAAGGATCTTTTACTAGTATCCTTCTCAGAGCAGTTAGTAATGGTAGCCAGGCACTATCTAGTTCTTCTGGTCTCCAGGTCATGGAGACTGATATTTGCATGGTTTATTCATTCATTCATTGAATTAATTATTTTCATATGTCTTTCCATTTTCATCTCTGTTTTTTTCCCTCCAAGTGGAGAGAGACCAATGGCTTCACTTTAGCTGGCCACTCATGAACGCTGAAGACTCCAATTGACAGGGGTAGGGGTACCATGAGTAAGAACTGATTCATGACAACAGGGCTTTTCTTTTTGTTTTTTTAACAGTATTAGAATACTAGAGAGTAGTTATGGCTATTTATGGCTTGAATTTCTTGTTGTGGTTTTTTTAACTTTTTATTCTGAATGAGGTAGATTACAAAGCAGATCATCAGTTTTACATTCAGCAATTCAAACATACTTTCCTCAACCTCCTCACTGTACCATCACTAATCCCACCTTCTCCCTTTGTTTCCTGTTTCTGTTCCTCCTTCTTGCTTCACACACTGAACTTTGTCCTTGGGAAAATGCTGTTCTTGTGATATGGAATGGTTGATTATTCTAACATGAGAGTTAATTCAGTTTGTGATCTGAAGGGTGACTCAGGACCAGAGTCTTCGGTCCCATCAGTCTCGTCTTCTGCTTCTCTTTAAAAGAGAACACTTATTAAGTCTTAAATGGCACAAGACAGGACAACTTCAGAGATGTATCATCAGGATGAAGGAGATCATTAGCAAGAGGTCATAATTGTGCCCAAGGGTTTGCTGTGATATATAGCTTTTAAAAGGACATGGAAAGTCAGAGAAAACTGTCACATAAACATGGTTGGCAGCAGATCAGCACAACGTCATTTCCAGTGCGAGGCATAGTGCAGCACCAGGCCATGATGGGGACATGTGCATTATGTAAGGCAAAGAAGCTTATAATGCAGGCCCAGGGGCTTCCCTGAGGCAGTCAAGGCAGGACTTGTGACTGTGCAACCCCTGGTGTGATTATCTTAATCAAAGACACACTCAAGTAAGCCTCTCAAGGAGATTATCCCTCCCTAAGATGGTTGGGGGCTGTGTGGGGTGGGGGAAGGGGTAGGCACTTCCCACTGCACTCTGTCTAAGGGCAACACTCTATTGCTCTTCTGGGTTCAATAATTTGTTGCAATGGCCATGCAGAACTCATAAAGAATATTCACAATTATGGGACATACTAGGGCAGCTAGCAGGTTACAAACTATTAAAGATACAGCTCTTTTGTCTGTAGTGACTCTTCTTATGTTGACAGGCATGTTCCTCTGGGCTTTAGGCATCTCAGCCACATGGTCATTGGTCTCTGTCTACGTGAACCAGCAAGCCTGGCTGCCTCTCTGTATCACGGACTTAGTGCTGCTTCTCTGCCCTGCTTCCTGGTCTCAGTGCTGCAGCCTCTGGTGTCTGTGCTGCTTCCACCATTCCAGTGAGGGATCTGACATTTGCTTTCCAGGTGGAGAAAAATAAAAATGAGACCCCCATCCTCCCCACCTCACCCCTTCCCCACCCCACCCCAGCCCACCCCAAAAAATGAAGATGAGAGAAGAGAACTAACAAAGAAGGGAAAAGAAAAAGAGAGAGAGAGAATGTGACAGTGCTGGTAAAAGTCTTAGGTGCCCTTACACTACTATAGTGAGCACATGGCTCCCACCATGAGCCAAAATGCAGCACCATCTATGGAGGAGTAAGGCTGAAGGGATGAACACTATGGAATCAGAAAAAAAAGGGGGAAGGCAGAAGAACTAAGAAAAAGGAAAATGGATGTACAAAACAGCACAATACTGGCCAAAGTGTTAGTAAACATGGCCACACTGGAAACACAACACTGGCTCCATGAGAATGCACACTGCCACTGGAGAGACACAGGCGGACACAGTTGACCATGGAGTCTGCAGGGTGTGGAGTGCCATTCCTTGGGGTCAAAAGTAAAGAATAATAAGAAAATA